ATGGGTTTCCTTCTGCATTATTTGGGGCCTTTGCTGCGGAGACATACGAACCCTTTTAACCGCAACTAATCAGGGGTTCCCTTTCTGTTTCCTATGCCGCAAAGAGAGAAAGGGAAGGACTATGGTGGAGCAACGCAGAATGTCATACAAGTAGAATGTAGTAGGAATTTGGCAAAGTAGAGTAGGGACTGGTCATAGAGGGATCAATTTGATGCATTGCACTTTGTCTGAACCAAGAATCCTTATGTCATGCTAGAAGTGTGTAAAGCTGACTAAATGCTCGATTATCCAATCCATGGCTAAACACTATGGATGAATGAATCCCCCCCCCCCCCCCCCCCCCCACGCCGCACCACCTGGTGACGAGGAAGCATGGAGCCTGCTTTCTGGCCAATCAGGAATCCGTGCGCTTTGTAATGTCTTAGTTGCCCCGTTTCTTAATTGGTCGAGAAGCTGGCCAATCAGAAAGCCGGGCAGCGAGTCATTACATGGCACATTACTTCCTGGTTTGCCGGGAAGCCGGCTCCATGCTACCTCATCACCAGGTGACGAGGGAGCATGAAGCCGGCATTCTGGCCAATCAGAAAGCTGGGGGGGCAGGTAATGACTCGCCGTCCGGCTTCCTGGTTGGCCAGCTTCCCGACCATTTAGGAAGCTAGGTGGCAAATCATTACACGCTGCCCGGGTTCCTGATTGGCCGGCTCCATGCTCGCTCGTCACCAAGTGACGAGCGAGCATGGAGCTGGCTTTCCAGCCAATCAGGAAGCCGGGCAGCGTGTAATGACTCACTGCCCGGCTTCCTAACACCAGAAGCTCAGGTATTGGGTTAGGCATCAGAGCATTTGGGCGAGTATGAGTACTCGCCCAAATCCTCGGCACCGATACCGATACAAGTATTGGTATCGGTGCATATCTAATGACGATAGTGGACCATGCACGAGCAACGTGTCACTACAACTGCTTGAAGTTTCCAGCAGTGAAGCCTGTGACCGGGTGACAACCCAATAGCACAATCAGGAGACAGTTGTCACACCATGTTGGTCGCCGGTACTGAGAAGGGATGTCCTTGAACTGGAGAGAGTCCAGCGGAGGGCAACAAAACTAATTAGGGGAATGGAGGGCCAGAGCTATGAGACAAGGCTTCTGACCTTAAACATGTTTACGCTGGAAGTAAGGAGATTAAGGGGGGATATGATTTTCATGTACAAGATGTTCAATGGTGACAGCAACATTGGCAACAAACTGTTTGAGATTAACTCCATTACAAAGAAGGCCACCACCTAAAGTTGGTGGAGAAAAAATTCCAGCACAATGGGCGAAGAGGGTTCTTTACAGTAAGAGCGGTTAAGCCCCTTCACATTGAGCGATTTATCACGCGGCAAGATATCGCGCTCCAATGCATTTCCATGGGGCAAAGGGTCCTGCTGTCGCGGGTCGTGTGTCGCTACAGCAGGACCCTTTTTGGAGCGGATTTAGCCGCGACTCAAGCTTGCTCAATGCAAGCTTGAACGCGATGTCGCGCGGCAGATATCGTGCAATATGCAAATCGCGCGACAAACGCGCAATTTGCATATCGCACAGTGGGAATGGGGCCTTAAGGTCTGGAACTCACTGCCATCGGCAGTGATTTCAGCCAAGAGTGTAGATTTGTTCAAGAAACGTTTGGACAATTTCTTGAGGGACCGTAATATCCAGGGACACCAGTATCCCTAAGAATGAGATGATGCGTGGACCTATATGGGTTGGACTTCATGGACATATGTCTTTATTTAACCCCAAATACTATGTAACCATCAAAAGAAAATGCCTGAACAAGGACCGTCATGGCATCATCACCAAGTAATATTTTAATGACCGCTGCAGATATAAAAAAGCTTGAAAACTTTTGAAATTAAGGTTTTAGGAATCGTGTTTACCTTTACTTCTAGATTTCATACATGGCGCCACAAAGGAGGCATCTCAGCAGTCCAAACATTGAGATCCATTACATTTTGGGTCCCCATAAATGCCACGCAGTCAAAACTGTATATCAAATACCCTGCAATGTTGTGTTATTGCAGTTCATCATTTCGAGTTTAGCTATGAGCAAATACACACGCAAATATAACGTTGTCTTTGCTGACGCCCAAGGCCCAACTCATGCGCACAAGTGTATGGAAATGGCCAACATAATGCACAGGAACCTGCTGGCAGAAAGATCCTGCAGGTACTAGCGTTCGTACGCAGGTAACAATTGTGGAAAGTTTACATGCAAGTGTACAGTGCTAACTGGCCGGACAGTGCTGGCCGCCAACACTGCCCGACTTCTCAATATCAGCAAAGCGCAGCCACTGCCGCATACATTTGCATGTCAGCCCTGAATGACTCATTCATCAGTCGCGCATGTGCAGAATGACTGGCAAAGGGTTGTTCTGCACATGTCCAGCCACTGATGAATGACACATTCAAGGCCAATGTGCATCCTTCCATGAAAGAACACAGGCGGCTCAACTCACCCAAGATCCGCCACTGCTAGGCCGCATGATGCTCAAGGTGCCTTAGCACCAATCAATGCTAAGACAGCTCCTGCTGGAGCCGCCTGGCATTCTAAAACATTAGGCAGGGCCCTACTTATCATCTTGTCTTGATGTGTATTGTGACTGTAATGTCTTCCTTATATTGTAAGGCGCCATGCAAACTGTTGGCACTATTTAAATCCTGAATAATAATTTAGGGATGCATAGATACAAGTTCAGATACTTGGCATTTTCACGAGAACTACCAGGGTTGCAGCGGTTGTAGCTCGGACCGGGCTCTGCCGCTCCACCACTGTCCTGAATTTATTAGTCTGTATTGTTTTAGAAAAACTGTCACATGACAATAAACAAAAATGTATCAGTACTTGTATCTGTGAGGACAGGTATTGGTACTTGGTCTGGAAAAAATGGTAATGGTGCATCCATAATAACAAAGTCATACATTAAAACAGAGATGTACAAATCCCAGGAGCTGCGTGTGCTCCTTACACATGACAGCGGCCTCCTAACTTTTGAGTTTCTCTCTGGTCTAGTCTTGGAGCTGGAAAAGTATCTGTACTTGTACGGTACATGGTATCGGTGCATCCCTAGTATTATTATTAGGAGGTGCAGCAAAATGACATTTTTAAAAAGAAACCGAAAATATATAAAAAAAAAAAAAGTCAGACCGAAACTGAAAAATATTTTTTTCTAACCCTTTTTAAAAATATTTTGATTTTATTTCTTTTTTCTAAACTTAATTTTTGTATAGCAATTTCTTTTTCACTTTACGTTTAGGGGCCTCGGGAAAATATTAGGGGACTAAACAGACCCCTGATATTTCCCTTTTAAAAAATAGAAAAGGGGATTGAGAACACAGAGTCCTCAATCTCTTTTTCTGCAGCCCATTGTAGTAAATGAACAGGAATCCTCTATACTGAGTGTTCCTGTTCATTGATAACATGAGAACAGAGTATGTTTACTATAACCACAACCATGAATGAACAGGAGGGTATGTAGATCACTTCCCATTCATTCATAATTGAGGATATAGTAACCATGCTCTGTCCTCAATTATGTACAAACACTCAGCGATCACTGACTGCTTGTACCCGCTCTCCTTCCTGACATTGCATCCCGTGTGTTCGTGTTCATTCAGACTGATCCCGGCCGCACACGGTACAATTATTTATTAAAATCCTAATCTGCTGCAGTGCTCTGTTGTGTGCCCTGCGCGTCTTCTCTTCATTCCCGGCACATGAATGAAGGACAGAGCTCAGCCTTAGGACAAAACAATTCCACTGAAATGGAAAGTCTTACAAATGAATGAATTGTGTATCAGCATCTTCAGGGCTCATTCACACATCGCAGGACAAACTGGGGGATACCGGGCGACTACACACTGCATGTGTACACTACGAATGAAGGGCAGAATGAGGGAAGGAGGGGGAGAATGAAAGAAAAAAAGGGCAAGAAGGAAGTTAGGAAGGGCAGAAGGAATGAATGGCGGAAGGGCAGAAGGAATGAATGGCCGAAGGGCAGAAGGAATGAATGGCCGAAGGGCAGAAGGAATGAATGGCCGAAGGGCAGAAGGAATGAATGGCCGAAGGGCAGAAGGAATGAAGGGCCCTCAAAGCGCTATACTTGGGAACATATTTTGTCGTGGGTATTTGCACATTGAACCGTGCGGAAGGAAAGAAGAAATGGGCAAGAAGGAAGTAAAAAAAGGGCAAGAAGGAATGAACGGCGGGAGGGCAAGAAGGAATGAACGGCGGAAGGGCAAGAAGGAATGAACGGCGGAAGGGCAAAAAGGAATAAAGGGCCCTCAAAGCGCTATACTTGGGAACATCTCTATGTTTTGTTGCAGGTATTTGCACATTGAACCATGCGGAAGGAAAGAAGAAAGGTGCAATAAAGGCAGAAGGAATGAATGGCGGAAGGGCAGAAGGAATGAATGGCGGAAGGGCAGAAGGAATGAAGGGCCCACAAAGCGATATACGTGGGAAGATCTCTGCGTTTTGTTGCAGGTAATTTGCACAATGAAGCGTGCGGCCATTTCTAATAAACATTCTGCCCTGACACCTCTATGCAGGAACCGACCTCGAATAAAGTGACGCAGGGCATGAATGGGCTCTGACAGGTGTTGGTAGACCAGTCTCTCCTCCATGACACTCCTGACAAGTGACAAGTCAGGTGACGCACTCTAACCACATGACTATAGTGACCAATACGGCGCCTGCACTGCGCCTAACAAAACCAGGAACGCAAAACAGAGTAAAAAGACTAAACAAGTACTGTTTTTGCTCCAGTTTTCATTCCTCAGCCCCAGAATGAGCTAAGTGCTGAGACCACGGGCTCCTTCTGACAATGCAAGGACTACAACTCCTAGCAGACTGCCACTTCCACACAGACCAAAATCTACAGTGACGCAAAGTGTCCCCTCTCGGCTTCCATACTCCCTCCTGTCAGCTGCCTTCCCCTCCCCGTCCCTCCAGCGGCTCTCACCAGATACAAGGGTGCATAGATCTTCAAGGACTCCTCCATAGCGCCCTGTGTGATCTGCAGGTAGGACATGAGGCAGGACGGGTGCCATGTGTGGCCGATCTCATAGCAGCTGTGCGGGATGGACTTGCTGAGGGCCGCCATGTTGAGGTAGAGGGAGCCGGGGCTGTCAAGAGGAGGAGTGGGAGGATGGGAGACGGCGGTGGGGAGAGGGGGAGGGGCCGCGAACCGAACTCGGGGTTACTGGCGTGCAAAGCCCTGGCCGCCTCAGGACGGCGAGAGCGCGCGCGCACGCACGTAGCGGGGGCGCGCTTCATCAGCAGGCTGGAGGGGACAGAATGGAGCAGAGTGAGGCCTAGTTTCAATGGCCTGAGGGGGAAGAGGAAAAAGGGAGCTGATTTTACATGACCCGATCCATATTATCCCTGGTGAGACCTCTGAACACATTCCTGGGCTCAGTCACCCCATATGTAATTGACACCGCTCACAACATGAGGGGGGACACCAAGCACAAAGTGTGCAGGCCAAGAATTAAAGTGGAGCTGTACCCAACTCGCCATGTGAAGAAGTGATAAATATACTTAAACATGGCACAAAATCTCCGGGCTTCCAGCTGAAGCTCCCAAGAAGAGGACGGAGGGGGGCCTCTCACAAGATTTGGGGTCCAGGTGAACTGGTTTCCATCCCTTGCCCCTCTCTGCCCAGCCCTCCTCTAACTTCCACCCCCCTCTGCCAATGCCTCCTCTGGCTTCCATCCCTTGCCCCTCTCTGCCAATCCCTCCTCCGGCTTCCATGCCCCACTCCTCTCTGCCAATCCCTCCTCTGGCTTCCATCCCTTGCCCCTCCCCGCCATTCCCTCCTCCGGCTTCCATGCCCCACTCCTCTCTGCCAATCCCTCCTCCGGCTTCCAACCCGGCTGATCCCTCCTCCGGCTTCCATCCCCCACCCCTCTCTTCCAATCCCTCCTCTGGCTTCCATCCCCCACCCCTCTCTGACAATCCCTCCTCTGGCTTCCATTCCCTGCTCCTCTCTGCCAATCCCTCCTCTGGCTTTCATCCCCCACTCCTCTCTCTCTGCCAATCCCTCCTCTGGCTTCCATTCCCCGCCCGTCTCTGCCAATCCCTCCTCTGGCTTCCATTTCCTAGCCCTCTCTGGCTTCCATCCCTTGCCCCTCTCTGCCAATCCCTCCTCTGGCTTTCACCCCTCTCTGCCAATCCCTCCTCTGGCGTCCTTTCCCCAATCCTCTCTGCCAATCCCTCCTCTGGCTTCAATCTCCTGCCCCTTTTCTGCCAATCCCTGCATTGGTAAATGGTGAGCCTGTGCTTTGTCTGGGCTATAAAACCTAACAGACTAGCTGGGTAGTCATTACAGGACAGAATACATACGAGCATTGCCCTCTGCAGAAGACTATGGCCGTAACTACATGGACACCCATCCAAATTATTGACTTTAGGTGAAGGGTATTTCAATGGAATATTGCAGCATACAAAGACTTTCGACCTTCTGGCAATTTGGTGAAGGCCCTTTTCTGTTTCAGCATGACTGTGCACAAAATCAGGGCAAGGAAGACAACCACTGTGTGGTGAAGGAACTTAAGTACCCTCCTCTGACCTCATCCCTACTGAACACCTTTGGAATGAATCGGAATACAAATTGCAAGCCAGAACTTCTCATCCAACGGTCGTACCTGACCTCACCAATGCTCTTTTGTCTGAATGGGCACAAATTCCCACAGACATCCTCCAAAAGCTTCTGAAAAACATTCCCAGACAAGAGGAGGCTGAAACAACTGCAAAGGTTGGGGGGCAACTTCATATTAATGCCCATGGTTATGGGATGTCCAACAAGCTAATATAGGTGCGATGGTTAGATGTCTGCACATTTTTGCTCATATAATGTATGCAAATGCAGAAAATAGGGAAATTACATGACAAGGTAATCAGCATATCCTGAGATATGGACAGGTGAAGTGATAGGAAGACTCAACTCCTCACATGAATGCTGCTTTTGGCCTTTCCGCCGTTATGATCTCCTTTATTAGTTATTTAGGCTTATTTTTATATTAAAAGAGAAACTTTTCCCACCAATTTAATGGCTCCAAAAACAGTTACTTTTAAGGCAAGCCAACTGTCAAGGTTGTCGGTGTGCTTATTTAGGCTCTCAACTGAACTTTCAAGCCCTCCAATGGCTGAGGTCATAGCTGATCACATGTGCACCACCATGGCAACTGCAACCCAAATAGAAGCTAAGATGGTGTCTTCATTGGCTGTAAGGGATAGGAGGTAGTATTTCCGCTTTAAAGAGACTTTCTCATTCTCAGCCTCTTAAAGGAGAACTATGGGGTCAGTGTTTTTCCCCATAGTTCTCCTTAGGGTAACGGGAGGACACAAACTAGCGTCCTCCCGTTACCCTAAGCTCAGTATACCGGAGCGGATCCCGACATCGACGTCGAGATCCGCCCAGCTGCGTGAGTGACAGAGCCAGCTGTACCCGCCCCCTCCCCCGTCCGTTCCACCAGTCAGTGCTGGCAGATCGGATCGGGGAGAGGGGAATCCAGCCCCTCCCCCTGTCACGGCAGAGAGCTGTGACAGGATCGAGAGGTGAGCGAACCCGGTATGTGTTCGCTCACCTCCCGATCTACTGAGCCGACCTGTGACAGTCTCATTGTCACAGGTCGGCTAGAACTATGAGGTGAGTGGAAATCACTCATCTCATAGTTCTCCTTTAAAGACCAACCCCCCAACCCACTTATACTTGCCTTGATTGCACTACCCTGCCACTCAGTTGCCCCTCCAGGGTACCTGCAAAATACATGTGTGGGAGGGAGCCTACCTAGATACTGGAATTCCACCATAATACCTTTTTATAAGAGAATGGTCCAGGGAGTTTTGTCAAATTATTGATCACTCAGAAATAGGGATAAGCACAAACTGTTCCTGGTCCCCTTGGATCCTATAAAAAGGGACATCAAAGTACCTCAGTTAATGAACTGTCATGAATCTAACCAAACATTTGCCAGCGTCAAGACAAGGTCCTTGAGCACTCGAGATTAAAAGGCCATAATGCACCCTACCAATCCCCCCCACCACCCCTTTCCCCTATGTAAACTAGTTCAGCAGCATAGGTTGCAGGTCCTGCTCTTTTTGCACTTCCCTCCTGCTGAAGATTCAATGGCAGCTGCCTGTTCTGCCTACCCCTTGATCCAGCCCTTCTACTACTTATTAGCAACGCTCTGTATGTATGTCAGCCCTGGATATGAGTAAAATCACCTCTTTACTCTTCTTTTATCCTTCCCTATCTTTTTGTTTTTGGATCTTGATTTTACTCTCATACCCTCCTAAGCAGAGTACATTTTCAACCACTTAACTAGTACAGGACACAAGTAGGGTATGTGCTAGTGCCCAACAAAAAACCACTACGCACAAGCATGCCCTAGTAGTGGTCAGCACTTCTGCCTTGAAGCACTGGGGGTCCATGGTTCGATCCGCTGGCCAGGTCACTATTTGCAAGGAGTTTGCATGTTCTCCCTTTGCTGGTGTGGGTTTCCTCCGGGTACTCCGGTTTCCCCCCACACTCCACAGACATGATGGAAGGTTAATTGGCTTCTGTATACATTGGCCCTGTATGTATGCATGTGAGATAGGGACCTTAGATAGGAAGCTCCTTGAGGGCAGGGACTGATGGGAATCTGCAACTAAGTAAAGTTGTCAGCGCTATATAAATATATGTGATAAAAAATATACCTCACTATCAATGCATCACAGGTTCAATGCACGGGGTCTTGCAATGTTTCCCCAAGCCTGAGGTTCATATGAAAATATGGGGCTGAAGGAGGTGTAGCTGGGCTACAGAGTGGAGAAGAAGGCATATAGACCCTCTGCTGTGGTGGCAGATACATTATGTATATAGGGATTCCTTGTTTGGGATCCCTGAATTACGTGGTGTGATGTTTGGGGATATTAGCACATATGGTGAGTACTGTAAGGATGCAGTCCACTCGCAATATCTTCTTTTTAAGAGCATCATAGCCCAATTTTATTTTAATGAAAGTTTACAGATCCACATCGGATACCCTCGCAGGGGTTGTTCAGTACACCATCCATGCACTGCTTGCAAAACACAGGTGTAGCCTCCTGGCTTACACTCTTACCCATTGGTCTGCTCTAGTGCTGTCCCGCATCCACCGGTCCTCCCTGTAGTGCTGTCCCGCACCCACCGGTCCTCCCTGTAGTGCTGTCCCGCATCCACCGGTCCTCTCTGTAGTGCTGTCCCGCACTTGTACCCTCAGGCTCTCGGCTCTCCCAGCCTCCCTGGCTTTCTTTGTGTGCCTCCAGCACTCACACCATCTGACTCCACTTTGACTTCTGGGGGGGAGTCCTCCTGACCCCTGAACATCGTCAGTTCCAATTTCCCAGCAGGAGCTAATTCCCCTCGTCAGCACCCTTTCCTTAAGGGTTGTGCACACCTGTGCAATCACCAAGTGCTGGATCCTACCAAAACATGGACCCAGGACTGGAGATCTTATCCCTCCCAACTCTTTGAAATCGATCGGTTCCCTGATCCCAAGCAGAATCCAGAAAAACCCTTGCTTCCTGAAAACTCTCAGCCCCTCCTGCTGAGAGTCCTGAGTGATCGTAACCCCAATTTCCATTGTGGGATTGCCACACGATACCACAGTGGCTGTGGGAGGCGTAGGCACCGACAGCCACACTAAATTCAAATATTCAAAGCATTCTGCTGGAAGGTGCACCCTGCTATTTAGGTAGGGAGGGCAGCTTGGGTTTTGGGCATGGTGTATGTGGGCATGCTTCATGCAGGCAAAATGTTGACCTCTTGATTGCAAAAATTCAAGCAGTGTGTGGCCTCACTGGCACCCCTCCATTTGACAAAACCAAACTATTGCTCCGCTAAGTCCTACCTACTTTGGGTATACACAAATAAACTTACTTCGTTGAACCGGCAGGCTGAACATAGAAAATATAACAGATTTCTCCATCCACGGTGAACAGCATGGATGGACCAATCTCCCTCTCCGAGCATTGTATTCTGACAGTGGCTGCTGGCTGGCTGGAAGCATTGTCCAGTCAACATTTTTCCAAAATGCTCCTTCGGCACAAGGTGATCTAATGATCAATTTCTGCCTATGGAATAGTTTCACATGGAGCAAATTTTGGGTAATTCCTGCTGAAT